TTCATAATAAATTATTTCCGTCATTTTACTTAGAGAAAATATTAGCTTTTTCTGAGTAGGAAGATAATTAGCTGAACGCTTTTAATTGTGTTTTTTTTTCTCTCTCTCGCCCTGTTCTTGTTGATTCAAGAGTTGCACACACCTTTATGATATGAAAGTGTTTAATCTACATTACGCGAGAACATGACTTATTAAAATAAGAAATTTAAAGAGTAATGAAATATTCTCGCTTTTAATCATAGAACATTTATTGAAATAGCCGTAAAAACACAACTTTTAATTGGAATTTTTAATAAATTCGTCTTATAATTATAATTTTAAATTAAAATAAATTTTTCGCTAAAATATAAACTCTTATTTCTCGACTAGTAATAGCTTATAACGTTTTACTGCGCGGCTTGAAAATTTATTATACAGTACTACTAACAACATTTAATGAGAAATTCAAATTTTATAATTAAAACAGCTAACATATTTTGTAAAGGTTTTTTTTTATTTTGCTAAGTGCTTTTTTTATTTTTACATGCAAAACATTTTCTATTTTCAGCTTTAAAAATGTTTTACCTTTTTGCATACAATTATTTCTTAAAACAGTTTTTAAATATTTGTTAGCTGGGCATAAATTTAGATTTTATAGTTTTAATTAGCTGCTAAAACTCACCATAAATTTATTTTTACTTATTTATTTATCGGACGCTGACAGAATTGCACGGATTAATTTTCTTATATTGTTTTCATGTGAAATCATCTGTTAATGTTCTTATGTATACTATTGTTAACAACAGCAAGCATCCCAAAAAATATTTCATTCGCCTATTTCAAGTAATTTTATTCTTTAAATTTTTAAGTAAATGTAACTCTGTTTTACTCTCTACAATTTTATCAATTCCATGTATTTTATGATGATAAATTTGTATTTGTATTTGTAGATTTCATCTGTTTTAACGTATTGTTTAGCACAGCATTTTCTTGTGAAACTTTTGCAATTAAATTCTACATCCAATCGATCAAACAGCATTTCTAATAATTTAGGACTAGTATTTGTTTATTCAAAATTAAGGATTATGCACGTTTCATTCATTTGACTTTACACACTGCTTCACGCCTGGGTGCCGCAAAGTTTCAATTTTTGAGGGTTTTGCTTTATCCGTTTTTTGTTTTTAACTTAAAAGAATTTAAATCGAAGATTCATGAAAATATCTTTTTTTGTAAAATATTGGGGGGGGGAATTAAAAAAACTTCTAATCAGTTTGGAGTTTGACTGCCTTTCAAAAACCACTGATTGCAGAACTGTTTTGATAAAATTTTGTTAGAGAAATTAAGAGAATCTAAAACTCCGCACTCTTCATGTATCGAATTCTGATAGTGGGACGGCCTAGTATTTTTCCTCCATCGAAAAATACTGCCAAACAGAGTAAAAATCCAATTTTTTTTTTCGTTAAATTAATTAAAAAAGAGGACTAAAAACATATTTAGAATTTTTCCTCTCCGTCTCCACCCCTTCAACAGCTGAGTTTGAATGAGAAAAGAGAGGACTCTTAAGTGTCACCCAATACTTGATCCAAGAGTTTCCTTGTCTTCTGGATTAGGTTTAAATTACAAGGCTACGGAGTTGAACATTGGTAGTCGTAAACTCAAAATTGGGAAATTTGGGATATTGGGAATTCTATTCTGATTGCACAAATTGATTAACACTTGACTACATGGTGTACTTAGTCCACGTGGTGCATATATGTAGTAGTTTCCTGATAGTAGCAGAGGAGATCTCAGGTTGGAACCCCGGAGTCCCGGCCCTTTAATCAGAGTTTTAGTCAAGTTTTTCATTTATGTAGTTTGTAAGGTCTTAAAAAATTTTATTTTTGTAATTACTTTAAATTCAAACCTTCTATAACTTTAAAAAATTTGCGAATGTGAAACAAATAGTATTTCACAGGAATAAAAATAGTCCCTTCCTAGATTTCATATTTTAAAAACATTTCATAGAATAAATGCTACTCATTTGCAGTAACAACTTGTATAGATTACAAAACAATCTTCTGAGATTAATTTTATGAAATTCTTCTGGTAAGGGCGGTTTTGAAAAGAAGAACATCTGCTTGAAATATATTCAAATATAATACATGCATAACAATGAGGGTACTTGAGCTAAATGAAATTCATCAAAATTGACTCAAGGTAATAAATAATTAAATTAATTTATTCTATGCACTCTGTTTCGCGATAAATGATCTTCAAAACATGAATTTGGAAAATCTAGAAGCAGATGGCTATGAATATAATTTATTGATACAGATATAATACTTACTTTATGCAAATAACAATATGCATGATATCTTCACGAAGTTGTTTTTCTGGTGCCTTAATTTAGATTAATCTATTAAAGAATGATGCTAATATGCAAAATTACTTTACCACGTAAATTACATAACCACGAAAATTGCACTATTAACTTTAATCTAGATGATTAAGGCTGTTTATTTTGTTAATTTTATAAACTAGACGAAAACTCTACTTTTACATTGTCTATGGGAAAAAGATTAGCTTTCAAAGATGAGTAACTCCTTTTTTTTTCTTTTTTTTTTGCCTTTGAATAAATTGTAACTCTTTAATGTTTAAAAATGTATTATTTTATTAAAAAATTTATAAGAATAATTTTTCTAAACAAACGGATTTTATTGTTTACTAAAATCTTCTATCGTTTTTACGTTTGCTAGCTTGACTTTTGGACATCTCTGTCACGAGTTCAATTTTGAACTCTAAATTAAATGTAAAATATGGTAATTTTAACTCTTTAAGACGGTAATATTTCATTTTGGGAACATTTTAAACGAAAATTATTGAATAATGTTTATAGAGAAACTGATTTTTAATTTTTCTTTTCTGTAACCCATGAGTGGTATTAAAGTGTTCAATGCAAATAAAAAAGCATGGAGCTTGGAAAAAAAGAGAAGTATTAACAAGCAGGAAAGTTGCAACGCTTTTACTCATAACGTTTACAGTTCTCTGCTTTAGAAAAAGAACTTAACTATTAGTTAGACGATTGGATTATCGTTTTATTTCTTTTCATTTGAATTTATAAAATTATTTTTTATCAGTTGGTGAGTGTTTTATATTCTTCCATAAAATGCTTGGATGTTTCTTTCTTTACGAGGACGTTATACCACGGAAGAAACTTTTCACCACAAATTCTGTTTCATCTCTATAACTAATGTAAAATTTGAAGTATAGAAAAAGTGAGTTGAGACAAACTTGGAGTAAGTCAAAGTTTCAATTTATGGAGAAAAAAATAAAAATATCAAAATGCAAGCAAATTATTGGAAGAGAACTTTTCCATTGCATAACCCTAAGTTATCCTCTCATGACTGGTTTTAATTTTGATATTTTGAAATTTTCTTTTCATCATTTAAGACATCGTGGCTTACTCTACGCTTGCTTGAACTTACTTTTTCTATACTTTAAATTAGTTATGGAGATTGAAAGAGAATTAGAGATGAAAAATTTCTCAAGAAATAAATTCTGCCAGAAGTAAATTCAAAGCGATTGTTTCAATGCATGTAAACATTGTTTTTCTTTTCTTCGATAAGTGTAGGAAAAAACACAAAACAGATTGAAATTTAACCACACTGGACGTATATATTATATTTATTTACAATTTTAAAATTCTTTTTACAAAACATTTTGAAAACATTTAAAACAGTTCAAATACATCACATAACATTGCTTCTTAATCCATTTGATTGCAGTATTAAAGAATAGGATTGCGCAGTATTTTCCTCAGCATTCAAGATAGAAACATGCAATAATAAATTCATCTCCGCATTCGAATTATGCATTAATTCAAGTGGAGGTGGCCGAATTCAAGTAAAAGCCATAAACTTGATGGCTGTACTACGAAGTTTTTCTTTAAATGTATGCAAATACATTCGTTCCATACACGCAAAATCTTTCTCTCGACAGGTCTGTCACCTGTAGCAATCTCAATAGGCTACTACCCTTATAAAGCGCCTATAAAAAGTAAAAAGGGTATAAAATACTCCATATGTTTATTTAAAGTGCTATTTAGTAGTCTATTTCTAAACAAAATGGTTAACAGCTTCACAGTTAATTACCTTTCCGAATTTAATGCTTAAATTAATTGTGGGCGTAACAATGTTGAAAATAGAACTCTTTAAACACGTTTTTGTTTTGGAGTATTTTTTTTTCTATAATTGTAGCGTTACTAAATGTGGAAACAGATGAAGAATATCACTAATCGTATAAAAATAAATGATTTGGAAACAATAAAAGCTAATTTTCTTCATGTTTTGTTTTTAAAATTACTTAACACGTTGAATACCACGCTAATTTTGCATAGCTTGTCCGTCTGGCCAAAATAATTTTCTCAGTATGAATTGAATAAATTTCTTCAAACGATTTTTGTAACGATAATTTTAAAAAAATGAAAAGCATTAAAAATTTACTCGAATTATATGTTTCTAATAATCTTGGCTTGGCCGGTCACCAGTGACCCCCATGGTGCTACGCACAAACTCAGTGCCGGTCACCGGTGACCCACATGGCATTCAACGTGTTAAAGAATGCGTGTGTCTGAAATAGAGATGCAATAATTCTTATAAAGTAACAGTATCCATTCTACTTCAACTAGATACATCCTGAACTATTATTTAAACCATTCATGTGTTAAGGGTGGAGTAAAGCTTGTTAGTAGAACACCTGTTTTATCATCTCTCATTTGTTTGCATCAGAATTCGTTGTTAGGATGAATCAATCCTCATTTCATACTATAGATCAAATATTTGATGAAAATATAAAATAATTTTAATACTCTCTGAAAAGTGCAAATGAAAAAATCACCTGTGACTTGGTAACATTCGTTTAACCATCTCTCATCAGTTGCAGAGATGCCAACGTTCTCCGGACAGTAAATAAATATCTTAAAGTGGTAGTTTATCAATTGTGATTCTTGGTTTAATAAATTCAATTTAGTAGATTTNCATTTCATACTATAGATCAAATATTTGATGAAAATATAAAATAATTTTAATACTCTCTGAAAAGTGCAAATGAAAAAATCACCTGTGACTTGGTAACATTCGTTTAACCATCTCTCATCAGTTGCAGAGATGCCAACGTTCTCCGGACAGTAAATATATATTTTAAAGTGATAGTTTATCAATTGTGATTCTTGGTTTAATAAATTCAATTTAGTAGGCTTTTTTCCACCACTATTTCTAAATAATTAGGCTTATATAATTCACCACTTTAGCAAAAGCAAGCAAAAATAGTCAAATATTTTCAAATTTTATTTTGTGGTAATTTACCATTTTTTTTTAATTATTTCGGCATCTCTGGCGTTGAATTATACAATTGTAGATAGTAAATGCAAAGAAGATAATAATATTTCTTTTAAATAAACTGTATATTCTTTAATTTAATAAAATATGTTATCTCATGCTATGAGGTATTGATTGAGAAGATTGCATAGAACCAATAAGTTTTCGTCTCGCTCGAACTATCTCGAGGTGATCTATTACATAGCGTTCATTGGGTGCTATAACTGAAGCTCTCTCCAAGCATTCTTCTGCTTTGTCTAATCTATCCCTCTCAACAAATATCACACACAAGTTGTGCTGTGCTTGAACATGGTTAGGATCTTGGTCTAGTATTTTCTCATAACACTGAAATATGAGAGAACAAAATTAAAATTCGCCATGTGTGCATAGCAATAATCTCTTTTAAGCCTTAATTGCGCCCCTTAACTTCTGATTTGTCTTAACCTTGTTCGTTAAATGGTACCCATGAGTAATTATATCATACCATCAAGAAACTATAAGATAATTATCGTAAAAAAAATCATCGAACCAATGAAATGGTTAAACTCTGAGTTCAGCGTTTCTATATATACCAAATAAAGCATGTCCTGAAACTTCCAAATCTTGCATTTTGTATCGTTTACGATAGAAACTCTTTATTCCTAGATCTGCTGTCCTCAGTTATAGGCTACCGGGTTTCAAAATTTAGTTGTCCGCGAACCAAAAAAGTTGCTTTTGTATCGTTATTTTGTATCGTTTACGATAAAAAATCTTTATTCCTAGATCTGCTGTTCTCAGTTATAGGCTACCGGGTTCCAAAATTTAGTTGTCCGCGAACCAAAAAAGTTGGTTTTGTATCGCTTACGATAGAAACTCTTTATTCCTAGATCTGCTGTACTTAGTTATAGACTGCCGAGTTCCAAAATGTAGTTATCCGCAAACCAAAAAAGTTGGTTTTGTATCGTCTACGACAGAAACTCTTTATTCCTAAATCTGCTGTCCTCAGTTATAGCCTGCCGGGTTCCGAAATTTAGTTGTCCGTGAACCAAAAAAGTTGCTTTTGTATCGTTATTTTGTATCGTTTACGATAGAAACTCTTTATTCCTAGATCTGCTGTACTCAGTTATAGCCTGCCGGGTTCCGAAATTTAGTTGTCCGTGAACCAAAAAAGTTGGTTTCGTATCGTTATTTTGTATCGTTTGCAATAGAAACTCTTTATTCCTAGATCTGCTGTCCTCAGTTATAGGCTGCCGGGTTCCAAAATTTAGTTGTCCGCGAACCAAAAGAGTTGGTTATCAAGATTCAACTCCTTCAGAACAGGCGAAAGGAGAAATAAGCACTTCCCCAAGACCGCACACTCCGAAAAAATACTTATTAAAGAATACTTATACGAGATGCAATATGAGTATCCAAATTGAGATCATGTCCATGTGATCCTGGAACGTGAGAGTCAGAAAGGCTAATTTCATGTATGATTCCGTAATCTATGATGATAGAATCATGGTATATGTGATCATGGTTAGGAAATAGCTATACATTCTTATTTTATTCTCCAGGTAGCACTATAAGCAATTTCATCGAACTCAAAAGTCAAGGAGTATGAAACAAGACTTATGAAAGAGAACACTATAGTTAAATTTAAGACGATTTAAAACAACTGGTATTTGCAAATTTTTGCTACTTAACCTTTTATTTATTCGTCTATAGGTTCATTAAATCTAGATATCAGGTTTTCATTATCTTTTAGCGTTAATTATGTCTGATTTCAAAGCTTCAATGAATTTGGTTATATTCTCTCTAAATAATTATAGCGTTCAAATAAGCGAGCGGATATATAAACATTTTATAATAAAAACAACCATAAAAAAAACTTTACGTTTTATGAACTGGGTGGCTAGATGATTTTTGAAAAAATGCTCAGGCATCTTTTGCTTGTAGCGACCCTAATGTGTGTACCTTTTTTTTTAATTTTATTTTTTTAAAACATATACACTAATGGCTGTGATTACGGAATACATTGTATATAGTTAACCTAAAAGGCCTTCTTAACTAATGAACAATAAACTATTATTGAATATGAAAAATGATCCGCTATGATTTTGAGCCTTTAATTATACTTTTTTGCAGCCAAAACAATCCATTCTTAGCTAAAATAAAATTTTGTAAATTCAATATGAAATTGAATAAGGTTATTTCAATTACGCGTACTATACGTACATTCAGTTTATTAAGTTTAAATTAAAATTAAGTTTTATGATATAACATTTCTACCTTTTATGCGCCAGATACCGTAATTATTTAATTTCAACAATAAATAAGTTAATTATTTAAATTAAATACTTATTTTTTGAAATAAATGAACTTAATTAATTCAAAGCTTCAGCTCAAATTTATGGGTGATGTTTTAAAGTATAAATTTCATTTAAATTATTTCAGTAAATCTTTAGTTTTTGTGGAACACATTATAATTATTTTCATTAGTCTTTCAAATAAATAAAATTTTTAAAAGGAAATTAAATAAAAAAGAAACATGTTTACTTCTTGAGCTGCATCCAAATCTCGAACGGTGTTTATGTTAATATCTCCTAATAAAACTAGCCCCTTCAGATGATCTGGATGATGCTGGAATTTTTAAAAAAATAGATTTTATAAGGCAAGTAGAATTTCACTGTTAAAAAATCACTTAAGGGCGCTAAGACACTTGCGCTGCTGGAGTAAAAGTTATTTGTATCAAAATTTAAATTTTGTACAACTTACAAAATTCTCCCATGCACCTGATTGTTTAAATTTTCAGTATGTAGCTAATGGATGGTAGACTCTAATAACTTTGTAGCCACTTTTCCTCAAACCTAATGAGTCGTTGGCCGATATTGATAGGCTTTCATATAACAGCCCTTTTTTGCATTACATATTGAATTATATATTTTTATTAAAAAATCATATAATAATATAAATACGTGACAAAATGTAATCAAGCATGCATATTTCAAAAAACATTTTTTTTTAAATATTTGGGAATGCAAATTGCATTTAATGTTAGTTTCCCAGAGTCTCTTTCTACATTGATATACATATATTTAAATATATATTTAATTTGAGTCGCCACTTTCTTTTTGATGACTCGTCACGTGACGAATAGCAAGTGGGGTTTTTTATTTTCAGATCTACTCTCTCAAGACAAAAAAAAAACCGGGTGGCTGTTAACTATAATTTCGTTATTATGAATTATGATGTAATGCATATTTTGACAAAATATAAGTTTCCAATAATGCCTTCACAATTTATTTTTAATTTACACATTTTTTCTTCATTTCACATGATTAGATTTAATAGTGCAAACGCACTGTTAAAAAGATATTCGTAACGTTTAAGTGCATGAAAAAACTGCACTTGTGAAATACGACAAAATTATTACTTAATTTTTTTACAACTCTCATTACCTTTAAAAAATTGGGTAAACATTGAACCATAACATTAGTACCTAAAACTATAATATGAGGCTGATTGTACACAATACAAATAAAAATCAATACTTTCGAAATTTTGAGATTTCTAAATACTTTTATCTGTCTTATTTCATAGCTTTGGTGCCATAGATATAGTTCTAAGAAACTAAAATCCTGATAACATCCCCTCATTATTGTTATAATATATTATAATTAATTAAAGCCTCCTTTCTCGATCTTAAGCAAATGAAATGTTTATGTCTTGAGAACTACCAAAAACTTAAAGGTGGTGTTTTCAAATACCACGTTAAAGCTCTTTTTTTTTTAACTAAATGTAATTCATTTCAATTTAATGATTGATATAATCTTAAAGAGAACAACTAACGGAATGAAGAGTGTTTTTAAAAAAAATTCTTCTCAGTTGGATAATAAATGTTAATCCACGGAGTTTAAAATATAATAACCTTAAGCCTCTTTACTATTTTTAAATTTATTATTAAAATGCTTGAAAACTTATTTATAATACGGTTTAAAAACAAAAAGCTTCAATTAATCTTTTTATGTTATTCCTTTTCTGCAAATCCCTTTCTTAATTTATTATTCAAAACTAAACGCTTTCTCACACTTTTAAACTCACATCCCTTTCTTTAATCTATTTTTGGTTCAAGTATGCATTAATTAAAAGTTGGACATTTTTCCCTTTGCTCTTTGTGGGAATCACGCGACCTATTTAATAAACCAATAACAATTACTACGTTTTCCCTTATACCCTGAAATGAAGCATTTTACGAATTTATAAATGTTATAACCTTTTTCCCTGCCTAATACCTCTCTCTCTCTCTCTCTCTTTTTTAAAT